CCACTGCACTCCAGTCTGGGCGACAGAGTGAGACTCCAACTCAAAAAAAATAAAAAATATGAAAATAAAAACAAAAGAAAACACTCTGTGAACATGCTAAAACCACCAAATTACACACCTTAAAATGGCAAATTTTATGGTATATGAATTATATCTCAATGAATATAAAACAAAAACACTGTGGCTATAATTAAATAATTACTTGTGTAATTACTCTTTGATGATTGTTTCCCACACTGCATGGTAAGCTCTTTGGAAGAAGAGTGTCCTATTTTATTCAAATCTATATCTCAAGTGCCTAACACATACTTGAACTTACTGGTTCTGGACAACCTCCACGGCATCCCATAATTCTGTTCTTCTGAGAATATATCTCCCAAAGGCCCTCAACTAGAGATAGAAGAAATTCTACCTAAAGAATAAGGAACCCTCAGGATTGACCCTGTATATGTGAAATGCTAAATGTCAAGTGTAGTAAAACTTTCCATGATTTAGCATGGCTGTTTTAAGAAAATAAGGAGTCATTGGTCTTCTTACTGTGTATTATTTGACTTGAAAAGTAAAGGGCTTGCATTTTCAGACACGTTGCAGGATGATCTGATGGGGTCCAAGCAGAAGTTACAAAGATCCAAGTTTGGTTTCTGACTATGCCCAAGTTTTGCTTTGTCTTCCTCTTCTCTGAAGATGAGGGAATTGATGTAACCGGTCTCCTTTATGAGGTGCTATGAAGGAACCTAGGTAGCTATGAGGAACACCTGCTTTGGACCTGAGCTATCTCCTACTAAGTGCCTAAGCTTTTAAGGATTTGTCTAGGCTGGGCTTGATGACTTAGCCTGTAATTTCAGCACTTTGGGAGGACGAGACAAGTGGATTGCCTGAGCCCGCAGGTTCGAGCCCAGCCCGGGCAACTTGGCGAGATTTCATCTCTACAATAAATCAAAAATTAGCTGGATGTGGTAGTGTGCACCTATAGTTCCGGCTACTTGGAAGACTGAGGTGGAAGAATCGCCGGAGCCCACCAGGTCGATGCTGGGGTGGCCATGAGTGTGCTACTGCACTCCAGCCTGGGCAATGAAGTGAGACGCCAACTCAGAAAAGAAAAAAGAACTTGTCTGGTTGGTGGCCAGTCAGCCATCTGTACAGGTGTCTTCCTTCCCCTGGACAACACCGATTTCCTCAGAAGACAGTAGCATTACCAAGAGATCTGTAAAAGAATAACTTAGCATCAGTGTTATTCACAGAGTTTTGTGCCAACCCTCTTTTTTTTTTGAGTTGGAGTCTCACTCTGTCGCCCAGGCTGGAGGGCAGTGGCACGCTCCCGGCCACCACAGCCTCGACCTGCTGGGCTCCGGCGATCCTTCCGCCTCAGCCTTCCAAGTAGCCGGAACTACAGGCGCACACTACCACGCCCGGCTAATTTTTTGATTTATTTTAGAGATATGGTCTTGCCAAGTTGCCCAGACGTGTCTCGAACCCATGGGCTCAGGCAATCCACTCACCTCAGCCTCCCAAAGGTGTGGGATTACAGGCTGAGCCACCAAGCCCGGCTGTGTGTCAACCCTCTTAAGGCATCAGTATCAAACATGCAATTTACCATTGTAGATAAATTCAAGATTGTGACCACCGTAATAATGATAATGTATTCCATTTATATATTTATGTTTTGTTTTGTTTTTTAGTTGGGGGGGTCTTACTCTGTCACCCAGGCTGGAATGCACTGTCACAATCATGGCTCTCCACAGCCTTGACCTCTTGGGTTCAGGCAATCCTTCTGCCTCAGACTTCAAGTAGCTGGGACAACAGGCACGCGTCACTATGCCTGGCTAATTTTTTTGTAGAGAGGAGGTCTCACTGTTTTGCCCAGTGAGTCTTGTCCTTCCAAAGTGGTAGGATTACAGGCGTGAGCTACCGTGTCCAGCCCCATTTATATACTCTTATATAAATTGCAACGCACTTTCATATTCCTTAGCTCACTAATTCTCATGTGTACCTTGTGACAATATTCCCATAGTTCAGGTGAAAAACCTAAAACTCAGAGAAGCAACTTGCCCATGATAGCAAAAGTGACTCTTTTATCTTCTATTCTTTTTTCCTCCTCTCTTAAAAGCTTGCCTGCTTTCTCCACTGCGTTCTGTAATTTTTTTGCCAATGATTTGCTAATGACTTGTCAGTTCCATTTGTGTTACTTAGGTAAAACACCTGCTAGTATAATTGCTGACATTGAAAAGAATGTCATGAATACATCTGACAGTTAATTTTATTCACGAGTTCCCTTCTGCTTCATAGATTCCTATGAGTTTGGGGGGTTTTTTTGGTGTTTTTTTTTTTTTGCTAGGCAGCTGGTGATCTTCCAAACGGCTGAGATATCCTTGGGCTGTGATCGGTGACGGAGCCCCAGGGAATCCTCCATCCCTTCCCCCTCAGAGCACAAGATGGCTGTGCAGAGTTTCTAGATATGAGTGGCAAGCCTGCAAGTGACTTGCTTTGGACCACTCACGTGCGTCATCCTCTTCTCTTTTTAAAGGTATATGACCGATGGTGGACTTGGCCTCTATACCCGTCGCCTGAATCGGCTCCCTGATGGGATGGCTGTGGTGCGGGAGACCCTGCAACGAAATACCTCCCTGGGCCTCGGAGATGCTGACAGGTAAGCCTTCTTCACTTGGGATTGGCAAGATACAGAGGTGATCCCAGAATTGCCTGAGAATGAGGCCGTGATGTTGGTACAAGGTCATGGGGGCTTTGTGCACCACGGAGAGGAGAGGAGGCCTAGAAGCTGTGCCTGGGTTGGAGCTGCCTTGGACCTGAGCTACCACTCATTGTCCGTTGTCTGTCATGTTGGCATTGTGATCATGAATGTTGAAGAAGGAAGAGGAGAGGACATCAGAGGCATTCAGTTCAGACATGATGATCCTGGAAGTGGCCCTGAGGGAAAGTTTCTGTCAATTTTTCTGTAAGGTGCTTCTCACATGGGATGGCTCCAGTGAGAACTTTCCCTTCTGCCCCTTACTTGAACTCACTGGCTTTGAGCTGACTCCACGGCGCCCCATAATTCTGTTCTCCTGAGACCTTTTGGGCTATCCCCAAAAGGTCCCCAGCTAGAGACGGTAGGAGAAGGCTGCCTAGGGTTGTCAAGTCTTGCTTCTGTGTAGGCGGGCGCTTCTGACAGCAAGCACACAGGGAGTGCAGGCTTGGGAAGTTGTGTTGTGTTGATTGTTGCTACTGCACCTTTGCCAGCTTGGCAGCCCCTCGGGATCTGCTTTACTTCCTCGCTTGTTAGCCAGCTTTCTAGGTATCGCAGAAGGGAACTCTCCCAGCCATGGCTGTAGCCTGTTAACAGAGGCAAGGCACAAGGATGTGGGTCTATACACCACATGCTGAGTGATTGAGATAGGAGAGTGATCAGGCATCACTGCCGCAGCTGTCAGAGAAGAAAAGAGCTTCAGAAACACCACGCTGAAGAAAGAGGACCATTTGTCTCCAAGTTCTAGTCTTTACCATGACACAATCTGACTCTTTGACCTTGAGTAACTTGTGAAAGGCGGGATTTGGAGTATGTGATTTCCAGGATCCCTTCCAGTAGACATTTCAAATACCCTTTAATGATCTGGCTGTTCAAGGATTTTCTGGCATACGTGACCTCTTTCCACATCTGGGCTGCTGAGACGTAACATGGTATTTAGACGTGAGTGCTTTGAAACAACCGCGCGCTTTTTGGGTGCTAAACCTCTTATGTCGGAAAGCCAAACAGTAGCACAGGAACAGCTTCCTGCTGTTCTCAAGGCGTGCTTTTTGCAACGAGCTAAGTGGCTTCTGTAATGCTCTGACTTCAGAGAAATAGGACAGCACAATAAAGAGACAGATACTAAAATCACACCAAGAGCTGGAATTTGCTGAAGAATAATCTTCACGTTCTCTCAGGGAAGGCTGGGAAACACGACATTAGTTGTTAGGACCTTGGGATCTGGCCCAGTCTCTTCCACCAATTCGAATGTATCCTCCTCAGAGTCCCCCCCCACCCGCAGTGTCCTAGCTTGTGATTTATATCAGGGATGACAAAAGGCTTTCTGCTGGAGTTCTAGCTCAAGTGAGCTTTTTTCCTGTAATCAATAAAGAAAACTATTGATGTGAAAATTTCACAGAAACATGAAACAATAGAGAACTGCTCTTTCTAAGGAGAAACTAAACTCTTTGAAACTCAAATCTTTATAGTAATGTGAGGGACAAAATTGCTGCAATAACCCCCCCCCCAGTAGATTTCACAATTTGCCAGATTATTTTGCTTATTTGTGTTCTCCTGTAAACATGTAGTTGGTTAGTAAGTCTGTTGACATAAAATGAAGGCCTTACAAGGTACATTTCCCCTGGAGCCAAAGGCAGTTTAATTTAATGCTTCATTGCTGGGTTCATGGAATTCTTACAGCTGAGCTTGTTTCTGCTTTTGGAGATGGAGGATTTCAGGGTGGAGTTGGAAAGATAGGTAGGTTTATTATGTGGTTTTAGTTCAGCCTGTTTGGTTAACCAAATGGACAACGATGTCTTGTGGTTCTCCCTAGACTGGAATGCTCAGATGTGATCATTTATTTAAGACCGAATGGGTAACAGATGAAGCTGTACAGAAAAACTCAGGTAGCTTTTCAAAGAAACAGGAGTTAATAATGATTACAGGGCCCTTCGGGTCCTCTCCCACTGTGGGAGATTTTCTGTCCTCTCAATAAACCCTGGTTTCTAAAAAAAAATAAATCACTTAATAATAATAATGACTACACATTTCTTCCTGTTTCATCTAAGTTTTGACATATAGGTAGGGAGCTATTTTGCATTGTTTTAGAATATGATGAATTTCTTTAATCTGCAAAGTTACTGTGAACAGACCACAACTATGCTTTGTCTTTAGGTAAGTTGAATTAGTAGATTTGTTTCTATAAAATTCTTCATGTAAATCTCAAATCCAGCTTTGTATGGTTGCAAAAACTATATTCTAAATGAGTGTTTCCCAAAGTGGGAGGCTCGTATGAGTCATATAGAAAGTCATTTTGGGCCAGGCTCGGTGGCTCAGCCTGTAATTCCGCACTTTGGGAGGCCGAGGTGAGTAGATTGCCTGATCCCACGGGTTCGAGACCCGCCTGGGCAACTTGGCGAGACCTTGTCTCTACAATAAATCAAAAAAATTAGCCAGGGGTGGTACCGCACCTGTAGTTCCAGCTACTTGGAAGGCTGAGGCAGAAGGATCACCGGAGCCCATCAGGTCGAGGCTGCGGTGACTGGGAGCGGCCACTGCACTCCAGTCTGAGTGACAAAGTGAGACTCCGACTCAAAAAAAAAAAAAAAAA